GGACCCCGTTCGGTCAATTTCCCCACTCTGTAGACCCGATCCATTTCTATATCCTGATGAATCTGCAGTTTGTCCTTTAATATCTCCTCCACCTTACCCTCCGCTTCCGTCACGCTCTCTCCAGCTGACTCCATAATTCCCTCGAAGATCAGGTTTTTATGCTTGGACTGTGTTTCCAACTCCTCAATTTTATACGTGAGAGTTATTAGACTCTCTCGGGTTTTATCAATGTCCCGAAAAGTGTCTCTGGCAGTCATTTCCTGCATCCTCACGTCCGCTTTAATCGCGTCCACCTCTCGCTGGGTAAACTGCAAACTTATTTTTAGCTCCTGCATTTCTTTGGTCAAGTCGTCGAATCTCTTGTTATGAGCCTCCATAATTAGTTTCACAAAGCCTTGGAAACTCTCATTTAGTTGGCACATAAGCGCAGTGTGCATACTCCGCTGCCGCTCCATCATCTCAGCAACTTGCGCCGCTGAAAAAGAATCTTCCTCTGCCTCAACGCCATCATTCAGCTCGGATTTATTAGCTCTTTTCCCTTTTGGAGGCATATTAGTAGTTGCAGAGTTTTGCTCAAAGCCTTGATAATATGAAAAAAAAGAAGTGAAAAATTGTAGAACAGACAGAGATACGTCTGCTCTCGCTTGCAACCCGGAAGTCAATCACCTTCTCACAAGTTGAAAAGAGTTGACCATCAGCTGTGCGCTCATGTTGAGTGCGTCTGTAGAGAAACAGGGAGCGACAACCAGAGAGGCGGCGACAAGCAAACGTGCATTTCTGCATTCAGTTTCAAACAAATAGAGCACACTGTTGTATTATGTCATATATTAAAGCACAATATAAAGCTGCTCACTGCTAGCTTAGAGCTGCATTAGCTGATTTTTATTTGCGATCCATGGGTAGCACAACAAGTTACAAAAACAACACTGTCATAATATTTGTACAAGAAGGAAGAATTTGTAACATGGCAAAGGTTCGTCTTCAACACTGCATGAATCTGAAAGAATGCATTGTGGTCGATGTAGTTTCCTAGCCACAGAAATGCACCAGATACAACACCCTAAGACCCTAAATCCCAACAACCCTCCCTCAGGGGACCGTCTGTCCAGTCAGATTTTTTTCCATTATTTATTTAAATTGTTTTGGTTTTTAATTGTCTTTGATGATCATTCCTTACAAAGAAAAGAATAATGTTTTGTTTTTTGTTTGTTTCTTTATAAATGAAGGGAAACAGAAACCTTTGTATCACATTTGACAGGTTATTAATTATATACTTAATGTGCCAAGAATAAAGGAAGGCTAATTTTTATTCTTGAAATTTTTGTGAGGGCCGGAAGGAAGAAACTGTCCTTGTGCCTGGTTGTCTTGGCACACAGTGAACTGTAACACTGTCCAGAGGGGAGGAGTTCAAACAGTTTGTGTCCAGGGTGTGAGGGGTCTGCAGAAATCTTCTCTGCCCTCCTTTTGACCTGTGCGGTGTACAGGTCTTCCATGGAGGGCAGGCTGGCACTGATGATCCTTTCTGCAGTCCTGACTGTCCACTGGAGTCTGTTCCTGTCCTGTTTGGTTGCTGAGCCAAACCAGACAGTGATTGAGGTGCAGAGAGCAGACTTGATGATTCCTTTGTAGAACTGTATCAGCAGCTCCTGGGATAAATTGAACTTCCTGAGCTGGTGCAGGAAGTACATCCTCTGCTGTGCCTTCTTGATGATGGTCCGGATGTTGGACAACCACTTCAGGTCCTGGGAGACAGTGGAGCCCATGAACTTGAAGGAGTCCGCAGCTGACACAGTGGTGCTGAGTGGGGTCGGGGGTGTAAGGTGTGGGGATTCCTCATGATCGCCACTGTTTTGAGTATGTTCAGTTCCAGGTTGGTGCAACTGCATTGGTGTAGAGTGAAAACAGCAGAGGGGAGAGCACACATCGCTGGGGGGCACCTGTGTTGATTGTCTGGGTGCTGGATGTGGTTTTCCCCAGCCTCATCTGCTGCTTCCTGTCTGTCAGAAAGCTAGTGATCCACTGACAGGTGGGGGCAGCCACAGTGAGCTGGGCCAGTTTGGAGTGGAGGAAGTCCAGGATGATGGTGTTGAATGCTGAGCTGAAGTCCACAAAGAGAGCCCGTGCATAGGTCCCTGGGGAGTCAAGGTGTTGCAGGATGTAAGGCAGTTACAGTAGGCAAACTGCAGGGGGTCTATGATGTCCTTCAGAGGGGCCAACATCAGTCTCTCTTAGACGTAACTACAGACTGCTTGTCTTTCTTAGAATATCACAATTTAATGAAATATAGTCCAAGAGCAGCATTCAAATTACAGGGGAACCAGGTGGGATTTAGCTTTTCCAAAAGAGACCTGAGCTCCCCTGTGGATGAGGGGTGGTGGTGGTGGGTCCCGACTAATCAATCATAGTCAGTTTTGTTATATCGATTCTAATTATAAAACAAACTACAAGCAAATTAAAAATAGAAACAATAAAAGTTTGACACCCTTTCCTTCCTTCCATCAAATTATCAACCTTAAGCCTGAAGACTGAGTTCTAAACACTGATTTAATCATTTTACAACAAGGAAAAAAAGGCAGAACTAGAAAATGGGATTTATTAAACTAAATAATAAACAATAATGGATACTGCTACTACTAGAGAGTGTACTGTGACTTTTTAGAGCTTTTTCTCTGAAAGCAAAGAAGCACCCCTACCGGCAGCAGGCATACTGGATCTTTGTTGTTATGGTTAAAATAGTAACCATAGTGAAGGTTATGGAATGGTCATGATTTGGTTAGGTTTAGCACAACAACAACAACTTAGTGAGGTTTTGTTAGGTTGGGTGAAGTGTGGGCCCCAGGTGCAGACACAGAAGCTAAAGAGAGAGAACTATAGAAAGCAGTTTTAAACAAAAAACAGGTTATGCTGAGTGGCAGGAAGTCAAGCCGACTCAGGGCTGGCAGGACGTGCAGCAGGTGACAGGGGACAGGTAAGGAGAGGAACCAGGAGGATGGGCAGATGATATGACTGGAGGGACACAGGAACCAGGAGGATGGGCAGGTGAGCCAGCAGCGGGCAGGCAGATAGACAGACTGTGCCCAGTCAGGGGGGCAGCCCAGCACCAGCCAGTCAGGTAGGCAGACCAGCAGTGGCCAATCAGGTAGGCAGGCCAACAGTGGCCAGTCAGGTACACTCGCTCCGCCTCATAGCAGGCAGGAAGCATGCTTATGACGGAGGACAAAGGAGCACATGAAAGTGGCTACCAGAACACAAAAACAACTAAATACTCAGAGCAAGAAACAAAATAGAAAACAAACTGGGAACATAGAATAGCATGAGGAAACTTGGAGCGCATCAGCGTAAACAGCAGAAGAGTCTGGTAGAAAAGGCAGGAGCATGGCGAGGATTAGGATGAGCATATCGGGACCTGTAATCGTCAATGCACCAGCAGCGAATGAGTGGAAAACAGGGTGTATATGTATGAGGCAGGACCGGGAGATAATGAGCAGCAGGTGAATGGCTGATTATGATGGTAGAACAGTGGGGAGAGACAGGGTAAATGCAACACAAATACAAGAAACAAAGCTAAATCATAACAGATTTAGG